TCCCTGCAGTCCGCCGTGCGTGGCGCTTGGCGTTGGTCTACCCAGGGCTGCAAGTGCGATTCGGGATCCGCCCCGCCGGGAACCGGTGGAGGTACCGCGGCCCACGAACAGAGGTGGAGCGCTTTCCCCCAGGGTGCAGCTGAATGCCCGCTAGAGCTACGCTGTGTCATTTTACCCCGAGGGTTTCCCAGGCGCCGCCCTACCCTGAGAGACTCGGGGGCCTGGGCCGCTGAGGGACTGACTCGTGTGGCTGCCTGGGGTCTGGACACACCACCCAGTTGGCTTTCCTGGAGGGACTGCTGGCCAGGCACTTTCCTAGGGACTGAGGATGCGATGCAAGCAAACCCAGAGCCCTGCTCTAATGAACTTTCTCATCTTGTGGGGGAGGCAGACAGAAGTGACGTTATCGCGGAGAAACCCGAGTGCCACAGCTGAATAAGCAAAGGGACTTTCCCCAAACGTGGGGTCAGGGAGGGGATGCTGGAGGACCAGAGAATAAGCAGAGGTTATTTTAGTAAAGAGGAGCAGACCGTGGCAACAGTCCCACCTGGTGAGAAAATTACAAGACAGAACAAAATGGGGAAGGAAGCAGCGAAGGGAATGGAGGAGACGAAACTACCGAGGTCAGTAAGGCGATAGGCCAAGGCAGGCAGGGTTCCTGGTGCAGACCGGAAGAAGAATGGAACCAGTGAAGGATTTTTTTTTTTTTTTTTTTTTTTTTTTTTGTACCAGGGGTTGAACTCGGGTCCTTGCGCTGAGCTAAATCCCCGGCGAAGGATTTAAACCACAGCAGTGACCTCTGAGTTTCCAGAATGCACGTGTCCAGAAGAGATGAACAGGTGGCTCTGACGGTGTTTATTTAGAAGGTTTGACTCAGCCATCTGTTGTAGGATCAGATAAAAACAAACCCCACTGAGAAACAGAAACTTTCCTCAGAGTTGTGAATTCCTGGTCTGTGGAAGCATTCGACCCCAGCGACTAAAATTCCCTGAGACTATTGACTGAATGGGCTTCTCCACCATTCCCTATCAAATGTGCGGTTGAGGTCCTGAGGTGGGCCTCAAGGGACTCCAGTGCAGGTCCTGCGTGGTCAGCAGGACTCTGGTGCAAGAACTGACCATGTATGTGTTCCCTACTGCTTCTGCAGCTTCTGTTGGGGTGTCAGGACCCCAGTGTAGAAATACAGGGTTGTCTGAGAGCCAGCCTCGGGCTCAGTGACAGCTCGTTATGTTCACAGGAAGGCGCACTGCTCGCCTCACGCGGCGGGAGTGTGGTAGGGTCTGTGACACCAAAGACGGACACAGCTTCCTTCAGCTGGGGTGCCCAAATGCAGACCCACAACCTGACAGGTGTGCGGTTTATATCTCCATGCCCCTCCATAGCCTCTTGTGCTCACAGGTGGGGTTTAGGGAGGTGATGGGATCATGGGCATGGTAGGCATCAGTGCATTAGCCCAATGGGGAGTTTACAGCCAAATGTGATGGCAAGTGCAGCCTGATTGGAGGAAGTGTCACCGTGGTATAGCCTGGAAGTGTCTGACTCTTTCCTCCTCCCTTAATGTTTCTCTGCTTCCTGCCACGCCCCTCTGCTGTGCCACCCTGCCTTGGAGCCAGCTGACTGTGGACCAAAACCTCTACAAACTGTGAGCCAAATTGAACCTTCCTCCTTATAGTTGTAGGTGTCATGTATTGTATCTTGGCAGTGAGAACTAAGACAGCAGGTTTGTTCAAATGCAGATTCTCCCAGCACTCAGGACACTGAGGCAGGAGGATCACCCCGAGTTCAAAGCCAGCCTGGACTACATAGTGAGTTCAAGGCCACCCTGAGCTACATAGCAAGACTCTGTTTCAAAACGTACACGCCAACAGGCCGATTCCCAGGCCCAGTACTGAATGTTGAGTCAAGGCTTCCAATTCTACCTTCAGTTAACCAAACTTTTAAAAGCATTCAATGTGCCAAGCACAATGGTAAGCACCTGTATTCCCATCTCCTAGGCATACTGAGGTAGGGGGATCACTTGAGTCCAGGAGTTGAGGCTATCCTGGTCACAGTAAGATACCATCCCTTGGGGGGAAAAAGGAGTTGGGGATGTAGCTCAGTGGCAAAGCACTTGGCTACAGTGCATGAGGCCTTGTGTTCAATCACAGGCACCTCAGATAGACAGAGGCAGTTAACATTCTGGTGGGTCCTCTGAGTCAACTTCTTGGTCACTTAGTTGTACCAGCAGAGGTTGGCCCAGAAATAAGAACTCAGGGTTTGTGAACAGCAGCTACAACTACGCAGATAACCTTCCCTGTAGGATTTGAAAAACTAAGGGCCATGCAGCTACCACTTGGACAGTAATGGGACATTTGCATATTAGATATGTACATGGAAACGTGTTCTGGCTCACACTCAGCCGTAAGAACACGAAAGTGCACAAAGAGGTCTTCTCTTTTTCTTTTGTTTTGTTTGTTTGTTTGTGTTGGGGAATGAAACTAGACTCTGTACTGAGCTCTTTCCCCAGTCCTGGGTTTGATCCTCCTGCCTCAACCTCCCAGAATGCTGGAATTATAGGTGTGTGCCACCACACCCAGCTTATTTTTACAATGTGGAATTTTTAACATTATACCAGTGATGGAATGATCACAATATTATATTAATATTATACAAAATGTGATGTAGTTTTAAGATTCTGTATTAAAATTTCACAGAGCTCTGTGGCAAGTTCAATTACAGTTTATTGTTTCTAATTTTTTTATGTTTGTTTTGGTACTGGGAGTTGATCTTAGGACCTTGTGCTTGCGAGGCAGGCGGAACCACTGAGCTAAATCCCTGGCCCTCTAAATTGTCTTTATGATTCAGACCTTTTGAGAGTATACTTATTACTAGAGACAAAAATCAGTTTTCTCACTTCATCTTTTTCCCTTTTTCAACCATTTAAAAGTCCAAAAAGTATGTTTAGCTTAGGAACTGGCAAAACAGGCTATATGCCATTATCCTGTGGATCATAGTTTGCCAAACCTGTGATACCTTTATGGGAAATATTAAAATCAAGTGATATGAGCCCCTCTGAGCTGTTCTTTTGTAAAAGTGTTCTGACTCTTTTACTCTATTGCTATATAAATTTTAACATCAATTTGTCAATTTCTAGGAAAGCGAGCTGCTGCCTTTTCAATTGCAGTTACATCAAATTTATACATCACTGAAGGTAAAATGATTCTTCCCAACCACTGACACGTTCTGATGAAGGGCCAGGGATTTAGCTCAGTGGTTCCATCCCCTGGCTCACAAATGCAAGGTCCTGCGTTCTGTCCCCGGTATCACCTCAAAAAAAACATGGTGTGGTGTATCTCTCCATTTACTCACGCCTTTGTATTGTCCTGCTATCTCTTTAAATCTAGTGAAACATTAGGCTTATGTTCATATTTACTTTAATTTTTCTCCATTCCGTATGTATCCCTTACTTTCTCTCTGGTTTCATTTTCCTAATACCTGAAAAATATAGAGTATATTCAAATTCCCTTTGGTAGAGGTCTTCTGGTGCCAAACTCTCTTCCTCTTTGTCTGCTTGAAGATGTCTTTATTTTACCTTCAGTATTAGTTGTATGGCTGCTGTGTAACAAATGACTCCACAATTAAGGGGCTTCAAGCAATCCCCATGTGCTGTGTACGTGAATCCCAAAGGAGCAAGGCAATGCCACAGTATCTTTGTGTCTTGGCCTGGCGGGTCACTTGCCATAATTCTGATTTACCCTGTTTGTTCCAAAGGAATCTCTGGGTCTAGTATGGGTTTCAGAGGAAGGCAACTAGGTTCTATCTTCTAAACAAAATGTTAGAGTTGTGAATGCTTTTAACCACCACATCTGCCTCTTTGCCTCCTCTTTCCCCAAGATCCTCTTCTAGAATAGCCTCACAGTTCTTTTTATTGGAAACCCTAATCTAATTCTTGAGGAAGGGTCTAGAATGTTTCTGCTGCTTCCTCTCCGCCTTCTGCTTCTGCTTCTCTTTCTTCTCCTTCTTTTTTGCAGTACTGAGGCTTGAACCCAGAGCTTTCATGCTGAGCTATATCCCTGAACCCCTTCATTTTTAGGGACTCCTTAAATCACTGAGTTGCCCAGGCTGGGCTCAAATTTTGGATACTCTTGCCTCAGCCTCCCCCGGTGCTGGGATTACAAGGGTGCAATGTATCATGCCCAGCCAATTTTTAAAAATTTAACCTTTTAATTTATTTGTTGGGGTAGTTGTTTTTGTTTTTCTTTTTTGAGACAAGGTCTCGCTGTGTAGCCTAGGCTGGCCTCAAACTCACAGCAGTCCTGCCTCAGCCCTCTAAATGCTGGGATTACAGCCAGCCAATTCTTTTATTACTGTTTAGTTCCAGTGTCTCTATTGAATTGATTAATACATCTAACAGGTCCCAAATATTTATGTCTATAATATTTCCCATTAATTTTTAATTTTCTCCTAAAATATCTTTTTTTTCCATGTTGAAGTATCTATTGATTGACTGAGTGATTTTGTTTCATTTTGTTCTTTGGTATAAGTATCAAACATAGGGTCGTTCTTTGGTAATAAGTATCAAACATAGGGTTGGTCTACCACTGAGCTACATCCTCAACCCTTTACTTTTTATTTATTTATTTATTTTTTGAGACAGGGTCTCGCTATGTAGTTGAGATTGACCTGGAACTCACTATGTAGTTCAGGCTGGTCTCGAAGTCACAGCAATCCTCCTGCCTCAGCCTCCCGAGTGCTGGGATCATAGGCGTGCGCCACCACACCTGGCTTCAACCCTTTATTTTTTATTTTGAGACAGGGTCTCAGTAAGGTGCCCAGGCTGGCCTTGAACTTGAAATCCTCTTGCCTCAGCCATCTAAATACTGGGATTACAGGTATGCGCCACCACACACACAAGATCAGTGTTCTGTTTTTAACCAAGAGTAAGTGTTTATATGCAGGAGAAATGATAGCCTTTTTAATGAATGGTGCAGGAAAAACAGGCTATTCACGTGTAAAAGATTGAATCTATACCCATATCTCTTACCATTTGCTAAATTAAAATCAAAGTGGATCAGAGATTTAAATATTAAAACAGAAACACTTAAACTGCTGGAAGCTAAAATAGGTAAAACTGTTGAAGATGTAGGCATAGGCAAGGCCTTTCTGAATAGAACCTGAATCATACAAGAAATAACATCAAGAATCCACAAATGGGATCATATCAAATTAGAAAGCTTCTGCACATTAAAGAAAACCACCAACAGAGTGAAGTGACAACCTACAGAGTGGAGAAAAAAATCTCCAGCTTCTTCTTGAACAGAAAATTAACATCTAGAATAAATAAAGAACTTAAAAAAATTAGCCCCCCCAACATAAAAGACCCAGTCAAAAAATGGGCAACTGAAACGAAGAGACAGTTCTCAGATGAAGTACAAATGACTAATAAATGCATGAAAAAATGTTCAACATCTCTGGCCATTAGAGAATGCAAATTAAAACAGCACTGAGATTACATCTCACTCCAGAAAGATTGGCTGTAATTAAGAAGTCAACCAATAAACCAGGCGTGGTGGTGCATGCCTGTAATCCCAACACTCGGGAGGCTGAGGCAGGAGGATCACTGTGAGTTCAAGACCAGCCTAGGCTACGTAGTGAGTTCCAGGTCAGTCTCAACTACGTAGTGAGACCCTGTCTCAAAAAACAAATAAATAAATAAAAGGAAAATAAATCAACCAATAACATGCTGGTGAGGCTAGGAGGGGAAGAAGCCTTCTATGCTGCCGGCAGGAATATAAACTAATACGACCGTTATGAATATCTCCATGGAGATTCCGTAGAAAACATGCCACGGATGTAGCTCAGTGATACCACGCCAGCCTAGCAACAACAAGGCCCTGAGTTTGATCCCTGGTACCAGAAAAAAAAAAAAAAAAAAGGAAAAAAAAAAAAAAAAAAAGGAAAGAAAGAAAGAAAGAAAGGAAAACTAAATCTAGAAATTCCTTTCAAGCCAGTTATTCCCTTTCTAGGTATCTTCCTGACAGTTAAAGATATTGTACTACAGTGATACATAACCATATTTCTCTAGCACAGTTCACAACAGCTAAATCTTAGAATAGCCTATGTCTATCATCAGATGAATGGATAAAGAAAACGTGGTATTCATACATTATGGAGTACTACTCTGTCGTAAAGAAGGATAAACTTGAGTTATCTGTGGGAAAATTGGTGTGCCTTGATACCATAATGTTAAGTGAAATAAATCAGCACCCGTGCTTAAATATCACATGGTTTTTCTTATATGAGAAACCCAAAATATTTTGAAAAAACAATAAAAAGAGATACATAATAGGAAATAGGGTGATAGGTCATCTGCAAATGGGCAGGGGAAGCAAGAGTTTGAGGGAAGAGAGAAGGGAGGAAAAGGGGATTAAAAAAAGAATTGCGATGTGTCATGTACATGTACCGACTCCCCATGGGGAACATGATCGTTAGAAACTGCAAATGGGTACTAATGAAAAGGTTTTTTTAAGTGTTCAGCAGTTATGTGTGTGGCCCAGGTGTAGAACACTTTGTTTGCCTAGATGTGTGATGCCCTGGGTTCCATCCTGGCACTGCCAAAAAAAGTGTTTAATTTTATCAAATTCCATTTTGCTATTTATAAAGATATGGTTTTCAATTTGTAACTATCCACGTGACGAGCTATTAGTGGGTTTTAAAACATTGAGCTTTATTTCTATTTCGAGATCAAATTCCATTTAAATGCAATATATTATTCTTTCTGGATACGTTTGGATTTTGTTTATTTTTCTTTTCTTTTTTAATTGTGATACCCCAAAAAGTGAAACTGAGACCTCACACATGCTTGGCAAATGCTCTATTACAGAGCTACAGTCCTTTTTCAGAATATTTTTTGGGGGTTTTTTGAAACAGGGTCTCACTGTGTAGTTCAGACTGCCCTGGAATTCACTGTGTAGCCCAGGCTGGTCTCAAACTCATAGCAATCCTCCTGCCTCAGCCTCCCGAGCTGGGATTACAGGAATGCACCACCACGCCCAGCTCAGAATTTCATTTTGAGACAGAGTCTTGCTAAGCTACCCAGATGGGCCTCAAACTTGGCATTCTCCGACTTCAACCTCACAGTGGAGTACTACCCACAATGGAGTACTACTCTGTCATAAAGAAGGATAAGCTTGAGTTATCTGTAAGAGAATGGGTGTACCTTGAGACCATAATGTTAAGTGAAATATGAATTAAAAAACACATCCTTAAATATCACATGGTTTCTCTTATAAGAGAAACCCAAAATATTTTGAAAATGTTCCAGTAAATGGGATTACAGTATTCCTCTATACCAGTTTTGTTTTCTAAAGTTTAAGATTTTTGCATTCACATCTACAGATTAAATTGGCCTGGACTTTTCTGTTTGTTTTCTTTATTCTTGTAATGTTTATTTTATGTTGGTACTGATGGGTTCAAAATATGCTACCCAAAATATGGCCCCTTGGGGGTTAGAGGTGTAAGCTCAGTAGTAGGCAGGCAGCCTCGCATGCATGAGGCCCTGGGTTCCATCTCAGGTTTTGCAGATTAAAAAAATAAATAATAAGAATAAATAGGCCCGGAATTTAGCTCAGTGGTTCTGCCGTCTGCCTTGCAATTGTAAGGTCCTGAGTTTGATCCCCAGTACCCCCCCAAAAATGCATAAATAAATAAATAAATAAATAAAGAGGCATTTTGTATTTGAGAAAGCAGAATCAGGAAGGTCATTCTTATCCCCCCTTCTGCCCTTATCTGGAACAAATCATATGACCCTCATTTGAGAAATACGCACTATGTAGAGAGAGAAGGAATGTTCTTACGTCTGAAAACACCAGGACACAGAGAAGAGTTTGAACACACAGGCTCGACAAGTCTCCCCAAGTTTTACTACCATTAAATCACACTTGTGCCCTCCTAGCATATTTTTCCACAACCCTCCCCTCTTCATCAAATCAAATCATAAAAATAGACAAGTTTTGGGCTGGGGATGTACCCTGGTAATAGAGTGCTTGCCTAGGATTTCTCTTTTGGTTTTTGTTGTTGTTTTTTTTTTTTTTGTATCAGGGATCGAACCCGCGACCTTATGCTTGCAAGGCAGGTGGTGGAAGCCCTGAGGTAAATCCTGGCCCCGCTTACCTAGCATTTTTGTGAGGCTCTGGCTTTGGTCTCCAGCCCTGCAGAAGAAAAAAATGTGTGCTTCTTAGGATCTTCACTTCTGAAATGCCTGTGTGATGGGAAATTTCTATTAAATAACTTGGTGTGCTTTTCTCTTGTTAATCTACCTGGTGCTATAGGAACCTCAGCCACAAACCTTAGAAAGGGTAAAGAGAAGAAATCTTTCCTCCCCTACAGTTTCAGTGAATTTATATGAGATATTTGATTTGTGACAAGAATCTGTCTTCTTTTTCTAGCCTGGAGCATTTTTTAAAAAGTTGAATTTATCTCTCTTTAAAAGGTAGAATTGTGTAAGTCCCCTGTGGAACAGTAGGTTCAGTTATTTCTTGTTTGGGGGAGAGGGTAAGTATTTTAGAGATTTTATTATCTTTTTATTCAGATTGGTTTGGTTTTCTAGTTTTTTGAGAAAATTTTATTTTTCATATTTTTTCAAATATATTGGGAAAAGATTGTGCAGATTGTATATAAATAAATATATGTGTGTGTGTGTGTGTGTGTGTATTTTTTTTTTTTCCATACCTAGGATCGAACTTGGGCCCTTGCACTTGCAAGGCAGATGGCAGAAACACTGAGCTAAATCCCTGTTCCTTTTTTTTTTTTTTTTTTTTTTTTTATTAAGTCGGGGTTGTCTGTGGT